ATTGATATAAGCTATGAGAAAGTGTTATAGGTGTTTCTTGTGTTATATGAAGCATATATGATCATATGTGAACAAGATATGATATGTATGTTTATGAATATCTGAGAAATGATCTAAGCTATATGATATGTTATATGACATGGATCTATGTAACTACGTGAGAAAGTATATAAGCTATGTGACATGTAAATGTGACTCATATGAAAATATTCTATGAGTAATTGAACTATGTGTTATGTGAAATGATAAGTATAAAAGAAAATGCCCATGTTATGTGTCTTGAGAGCTAGGGGTATAGTTGGCATGCCAAGAGTCGAGGGTTTACCTATGTTCTACGGAACATATGGACAGTTTTACCTATGTCTTTCGAGACATATGGACAGTATACCTATGTTCTAAGGAACATATGGACAGTTTACCTAGGTTCTTCGGGACCTATGGACAGTTATCGAGGATCTTTATGACCTTTGGATAGTTACCGAGGATCTTTATGACCTCTGGATAGGTCCTTCGGGACATTTATATGAGCTGTGATGACAGCATAGTGGTGCACAACCTCAATAGACTCACATATCTACAGTTCTCACAGGTGTACATGGGCTAATCAAGAGATATAAACAAATATATGTTAGTGATATGATAAATGTATTACAAATGATATGATGTTGTGTGTGTATAGTGTTTGATTGAAAAGGTTAAGCATAAAAGTATGTGATTACATGATAAACTGCTAATGATGATTTATGTGTATGTATGTATTTATTGTTAATTAATCTGATATAATTTTACATGATATGAGGAAGTCATGTAATTTGGTATAGCATGATAGAACAGAACATGCATATATTGATATATGTTATAAAGTACATTATAAGTTTTTATGCCTCACTAAGTCTTCGACTTAGCGTGTGATTGTTTCACACGTAGGTTTCGAGAAGAGTAAAGAGTAATGCGGAGCAAGACATGTCAGTTCTCCTTACCAAATGTCAGATCAGAAAATATATGTACTGGTTATAGAGTGTAGATGGCATGTAGTCTAAAGATATAAATTGTATGAACTCTGATATATTTTGTAAACGTTTTGAATAAGTTAAGTGTTATCAAAGTTTTTAAATTACTCACTATTTTATACGAATAAATGTTTGAAAAGTCAATGTGACACTTCGGACTCGTATCCGGGTCGGATACGGGTTGGGGGTGTTACAGCTTAGATGCTTCACTATGGATGATGGCGATGCAAGAAGAAATTGAAGCCCTTCATAAAAATAATACATGAGACCTTGTGCCACTACCACAAGGAAGGAAGCCAATTGGTAACAAATGGGTCTTCAAAATCAAGAAAAATGGTGACGATCAAGTTGAGAGGTATCGTGCAAGACTGGTGGTCAAAGGATATGCTCAAAAAGAAGGTATTGATTTCAATGAAATATTTTCTCCTGTGGTTCGACTAACAACAGTTCAAGTAGTTTTGGCAATGTGTGCTACATTGAACTTACATATAGAGCAGCTAGATGTTAAAACAACTTTTCTTCATGAAAATCTTGAAGAAGAGATTTACATGCTCCAGCTGAAGGTTTTGAAGAAAAAGAAAAGAAGAACTTGGTTTGCAGGTTGAACAAATCTCTGTACGGTCTAAAGTAGGCGCCGAGGTGTTGGTATAAGAGATTTGATTCCTTCATTATGTGCCTTGGATACAATAGACTTAACGCAGACCCTTGTGTTTATATCAAGAGGTCTGGTGATAACGATTTTGTTATATTGCTGTTGTATGTAGATGACATGTTGGTTGCAGGACCCAACAAAGATCATATTGAAGAATTGAAGGCACAACTGGCTAGGGAATTTGAAATGAAGGACTTGGGATCAGCAAACAAGATTCCAGGGATACAAATTCACCGAGACAGAAGTAATAGGAAGATTTGGCTTTCACAAAAGAATTACTTGAAGAAGATCTTGTCAAGATTCAACATGCAAGATTGTAAGCCAATTTCTACCCCTCTTCCTATTAACTTCAAATTATCCTCCAGTATGAGTCCTAGCAGTGAAGAATAGAGGATGGAGATGTCTCGAGTACCGTATGCATCAGCAGTGGGAAGTTTAATGTTCGTTATGATATGAACAAGACCAGACATTGCACAAGCAGTGAGAGTGGTTAGTCGGTACATGGCGAATCCAGGCAAAGATCATTGGAATATTGTGAAGAGGATCCTGAGATATATCAAAGGGACCTCAAATGTTGCATTATATTACGGAGGATCAAACTTATTAATCAATGGGTATGTAGATTCTGACTATGCAGGGATTTGGATAAAAGCAAATCTACTACATGATATGTGTTCAAAGTTGCTGGTGGAGCTGTAAGCTGGGTTTCAAAATTGTAGTCAATTGTGTCTACGCCCACAACAGAGGCAGAATATGTAGCAGCTACACAAGCCAGTAAAGAAGCAATTTGGTTGAAGATGCTATTGGAGGAGCTTGGACACAATCAAGAGTATGTCTCTCTATTTTGTGACAGTCAAAGCGCCTTGCATCTAGCAAGGAATCCAATATTTCATTCAAGGACAAAGCACATACAAGTTCAGTACCATTTCATTCGTGAAAAGGTGGAAGAATGGACGGTAGATATGCAGAAGATCCATACCAAAGACAACATAGCAGATTTCATGACAAAGACAATCAATGTTGATAAATTTACCTTGTGTCGATCCTCTTGTGGCCTGTCAAAGACGTAAGCAACATGAAGGTACAAGGTAGAAAGAATGGTGTGAAGATATGATTATTCCAATCAAATCTTCAAGTGGGAGATTGTTGAAAATTCAAAGGGTAGGCACCGAAAATTGAAAGCAAAATCCACCTAATAGAAATTGTCAAAAAGTAGATGATTTTGTTGAATTTTGGTAACGGGTAAATTACCAAATTTAGTCATTGTAATTTAGGGTATTTACAAATTAGTCCTTAAGTTTCAACTATAAATATCCTAACTCATTTAACTTCAAAATCATCCCAAAGCATTCTAGCTTTCTTCCAATACTATAGAGAATTTAGAGAGTTTCTTGAGAGTTGTTTTCTCCTTTTTATCAAGAGAGAATTATCATTGTTTTCTCCTTGGTAGATCGAGAGAGGTTGTAATTCCTATTTTTCTCATAGTGAAATTCTTCTACCGTTGTGCCCGTGGTTTTTACCCTATATTATTTAGGGGTTTTCCATGTAAATTTTGTGTCTTCTTTATCTTCATTTTTATTTTCTCAAATTATCAGTTGCGATTTTGCTCTATCCGATAGCCGTCTTCCGCAACATTTACCTAAATAAAAAAGGGTGAATCGTATAACCGTTAGAGAGAACATAGTAAATCCTTCCGCAAATTGAAAGTTGTAATTTGGAAACTGATAGTTCTCCACTTGAATCAATAACTCCTGAGATTGAAAGTCGTGGAATTGCAATTGTGTAGCTGCTCACTGCAAGTTTATGACAATCTACGAGTAACTGCTCAGATTCAGACTCAAGCTCAAGTGTCCTTGTACCATCAGAGCCAACTCTTTCAAGAGAAGCGTCATCAATGACGAGCTCTTCTAATGTTCATGGACTATGCTCTAATCTGAAACAGAATGAAAAAAACTTGTCATAATTAAGCTAAATGTTATTGTAGGACACGGTTGTACATATATGTAATATGAAACTTCAAATGTGTCCTATAATAATCTTGGGCTTAATTGTGATCAATGAGAGCATACTACTTTAACATCAGTAGAGCTGATCATTCCTGATGCTTTTTCTTCAAGGAGGTAGCTATGATGGTACAGGGGCCATTTGAGTTTGTGATCTTTATGGGCATTCTCATACTCTTCCTCGGCAGCAAGCCCTCCTCAACCTTAGCCCTAGGGTTTAGGCCTTTGACTTGCATAGCAGAATTTTTGAATATTATGATTAATATTTAGAGTAGGGAATTAATATTTCCATATCTCACTTATACCTTATCATTATGTCATTCACTTATAGCTGTAAAAGGCAATCATGAAGCAATATTTCCATATCTCAGGATGAAGAAGAATGATTAGGCCAATCACGATAATGATTTACTTTTCACTCTTTGATATTCCCGGGATGAAAAAAGAGAGGTCTACCAAAGATAATGATGGTTCTAACTCTTGTTTGCATCTGCTAATTCCTTGTTCTCATCATACCTTTGTTCTAATTCTCTACCAGAATCATAAAACATCACATGCAAAAAGAAGTTCACCTACCTTATTTTATTTGTTAGTGGCATCATCTTGTATTCAATAGGATCTTCAATTAACCATCATCTGTTAATCTTGTACCCATAATGATTCTCTTTATTTTACCATCATCTGCTACACAACAAACTTTCAGACCCCAAATCCCAACCTTATTTCGTTGAGATCATATCATGGGTCAAATTCTACTTTTACTACTTTTATTGTGCTCCAAATTACAATTTAGTCCCTATACCATAATTTGACACCTTTTTTTTATCTATATAATTTTATAATTGTTATACTCGTATCAATAACTCTCCGTCATACACCACTCTGACACAACTCTTCTGGATAAAAGGTCCTAATATCCGCTTAACCCAACAACCAACAATTAATGAAATATTGTTAGTCTGAATGATTAACACCGATAACTATTCGAATTATAATGTTCATAATACTTTTTCCAAGACTAACATTTTTTTGGGTACTAGAAGGGGTATTTTAGAAGATGAAAATTTCACATCGATAGTGTAACCGAAATTGTTAACTATTTGGATTAACTACTTTAACAACAAAAACAGATCGATCAAATTATATGAAATTAAAGTATATGAACTAAATCCCAAATTTAAGTATGCTAAAGGACTAGAATCATAATTTGGCCTACATTCTTACCAAAGAAAGGTAGCTAGAAAAGCTACATAGAATTGACACAACATGCCACCTTCTGAAGCATAAATAGCCATTGCCAACTAAACATTGCAACTCCATAGCTCCGATCTCTGTTTCTGTGGGGGGAAGTAAAGTGAAAGAAGATGGCGATGGCTCCCATAAACACTCCATGCAACATGAAAGAAGTCAATAGAGGAGCATGGACAGCCGAGGAAGACAAAAGGCTGGCTCAAGCCATTGAAATTCATGGTCCAAAAAGATGGGAATCAATTGCATCAAAAGCAGGTTTGTTAACACTTCTATATGTGTTCAAGATGCTCAGCCATATGATTGAGCTTAAAAATGGGTTTATGGGTTCCATTTTGTTTCAACATTTTCAGGACTTAAACGATGTGGGAAGAGCTGCAGATTGAGATGGATGAATTATCTGAGACCCAATATAAAGAGAGGAGACATATCAGACCAAGAAGAGGATCTCATACTAAGGCTTCATAAACTTCTTGGAAATAGGTATGTTATTTATACATATGGAATATGATTCACTTACATAATTTTACATTGATTTATAATCATTGAATTAAAAGAAATTGACTTACATAATTTTACATTGATTTATAATCATTGAATTAAAAGAAATTGACTGAGATTATATTTAATATTTTTTCTTTTCTATAACCGGCAACTATCTCTTCATTTTCAATCTTAATATTTTAAGGATGTACATATAATATTAAGCATTGATTTTTGTTAATCCAAAAATTATAAATTAGTATAAAACTCATAATTTTAAGATAAACTACACCAGATATCACCGAACTTTAAGCTTTGTATCGCTTATACCACTAAACTTTTAATTTTGTCAATTATAACTTTAAATTTTATTTTTTTCGTTTCAATTATACCACTGGATCAAAACAACGTTGTTTTGGTGAGGTGTCTACGCCAGTAGCCTTCAGTCCTGTCATCGTGCCGTTAACGATTTAACGGTTCAGAGGTATAATTGAAAGGAAAATAAAGTTTGGTGTTATAATTGATAAAATTGAAAGTTCAGTGACATAAACGATACAACACCCAAAGTTTGGTGGAATCTGATGTAGTTTACCCTTAATTTTATATATGTTGTAAATTTGGATCCTAACTTCAAAAACTGTTGTCTGGTTCAGTGGTGGTGTTCCTTTTATCTACCTAAAACAGACTTTGTTTTCTTTTACAATTTATGGGTCCATAATTAAATCAGATTATTTTATTGGTCAAATTATGATTTTGATCTTTCTACTATACTCAAAATTTTAATTTGGTCCCTATAGTTTGACATAATTTGGTCCTTCTGATTTTATAATGTCATTTTTGGTCTAAATAATTACATTGTTAACCATTTTTTGGTTAAAACTCTTACTTGATCCCCCCTTAAAATACATCTTTCAACTCAGAAGAGTTATATTTATAGAAAAAATCTACACTATCATTTTAATGGGTGTTAAATTATTAACTATTTGGACTAAACAATGATATTATAAAAGTACAGAGATCAAATTATGGTAGATTAAAGTACAAATAGTAAATCCAAAATTTGAACATAATAGAGGAACTAAATCATAATTTAACTATATATTTTCGTTTAGGTGGTCCTTGATTGCTGGAAGACTACCTGGCCGAACTGATAACCAAATCAAGAACTACTGGAATTCTCATTTGAGCAAGAAAATAAGGCGAAACGAGAACCAAAACAAAGGCTCCAAAGTACAAGAATCTGTTCTCGAGAATTCGAAAGAAACTGAGATGATCTTCGTATCGACGGGGCGCGAGGATGGTACATCAAAGAGAGATGATACGTTACTGGGGTTTTGCAGTGAGGAGCCTCTTGATTGGGAGTGGATGAGTGAGTTCTTTGAAATGAACGAGAGCTGCTTCAACTTAGCATGATATTGGAATTTCGTTTACATTCATTCCAAGTTGTTGTAAAAAGAGAGCCTTTGGTAGTCCAAGCAAAATCCTCTGGTTTCAGTTCTATGTTGTAGCGTTGGTTGAGGTTTTCCCTTGGATCGTCAAATGGAATTGTTTGATTTCATTGTCAAGAGTGCGTTGGTATTGGCCCATTCTGTATTATGATTTTTCGTTTTGGATCCCATTTCGAAAAATAACTTCTTCAAACGATTTTTCATTATTTCAAAGAGTTGAACTCGAATGTTATTTACAAAATATCCAACGTATTAACTGAAGACATGATGCATGTGTTGCGCTTAATAAGGGGCGTACATTGATTCCATATCGGTAAAAAAGAGGTTATAAAGAATAAAAATGGCGATGTTATACATACTATCTCACATAATTCTAAGAAAAGAATAATGATTTTATGACAAGTTGTATCAGAATGATCCTTTATGATTTCACATTGAGTGCCTTAATGGATAGGGTAAATATGCTAGACAACGTAACAACGACATGTGAAAAAAACATTATGAGATTGAATGAGATACTGTTAACGCCTTAAAGGGTGATACTTGTCACAATCAGATTAGATATTTATTTTACTTCAAAAATTTATTTTACTGAATTAAACAAATTAAAATAAATATAATCCTCTAACCGGAGTTTGGCACATACTATTTTTAATTAGATAATTAAATTTATTAAATTAACTAAAAAGATTAGAATCAAATTCATTCACTGTGCAAGTAATATGAACTAAATCTAAACTACAATTATCTCAACGAAACCCATTCTTCTAACATTATTAAAAAAGTTAGTTAATAAAATCACGTTATATGAAATATTTGATTAAATAAATACAATTAAATTTAACAAAAAAAATTGTCAAATCTCTCATATTTTCTTTTTGTAGTTTAATTAATATATTTAATTCTAAATTAATTCTTATTTATTTTTAAATTTTATAATTTAATTTAATGTAAATATTAATAATGTTATTTATATTTTTATTACTTTTAATAAATATCATCTAATAAGTAATAAGATGACATCTTATTGGAATAAAAGTGAGAAAAAATGACATAAACTCTTAGATCAAAGAGTCTAATACATAATCAGTAGATCAAGTTAAGAAGTAATATTAGGAAAATCTTTAGCTTATAATAGGGTTGAAATTATTTTTTATATATTAATTAAATTAATTAATTAACAGAGAACGAATAAATATATTAATTAATTAATTATATAAAAGAAATCGAAACTTACAATCATGTATAATCCATTTAATTTATTTATAAATATATATATTTATATATGTTGTAATCAGGCTTGATATAAAAAATTCAAATTATGTCTTATTTTAGATGCTTAAATTCTTTTCGGTCAATTTAAGTGTCAAACGCTATAAACGTTATTATTTTAAGTGTCACATTCATAACACCGTGTTAGAATTTTTAGGCTCTATGAACAACCGAAAAAGTGTCAAGAGAGTGTGAATTAGCCTTTTGAAAATTTTCTTGTGAAAGTAAAAAAGTAGACAATTTAGCACAATTATTTATAATGGTTCGATTTTTATATTAACTCTAAATTCACTACCTTAGCTTCATACTAAGGATTTTTTAACAAATTCACTAATTTGTTCTTTCTTTTTCTAGGCTCAAGAGTAACCTTTATAATTCCCTAATTTTTTAAAAGACTAAACTAGATACAATTTTTCTTACAAATGATAAGAAATGTAAACAAGAAAATTTCACGACAAGAATTTAGCTCATAAGAAACAATTAAAATATATGCAATGAGCTCAAACATTTATAGTTAAATTATTAAATATTTTTAAATACACAAACAATATATTTTATTATTAAGTGACAAAATCTTTATATTAAATGACACTTAAATTTGGGTTTAATATATCTCTATTATCCTTTTTAAAAGAAATTAATCTAGTACGAATAAAGTTACCTCTGTAGTTAAAAATATATTTGTTATCTCTAGAGATTTTAGGTTTAAGCATTAGAGACTGCAAGAGTATTAATTATCAAATTGATGAAAATCTTTATAGCATATAATATATCAAATTAATTTAAATATATCAAATTAAAGTAACATATAATATTGAAATTAAATATTAGTTGGATAAAAAGAACTAATCAGTGATATTCTAATTTAGTACTTGAATTCAAATATTTTAAGATTTAGAGACCAATATTAAATTTAATCCATAATTTGAAGATGTCTGAAACAATTAACCCTATTCAAATACCTATGTGTCGACCGAAGACGTCGCTCATTTGGACTTGACCAAACCACTAGAATTAGCCCAAATTTTAGATGAATCTAGAAGGGCCGTTTACTTGAACTTTGGTCAAAAATAAATAAGTGGCATCTTAATAGAATATTTTAGAGGATGAATTTCTATATGAGGATTTAATTATAAATAAATGTTGTTAACAATATATAGAGTAAGTAGTTAAATATTTTCGGTTGATACATTATCCCTTTTAAGTTGTGGGTTTAATATCCGTTAGGAGTAAAATTCTCCTTCCATCTCACTAGGTAAAAATTGTTCAAAAAATAGTTTGATTAATTAATAAGATTATTAGATTTTAGATCGATTAACGGTTAATCAAATTTTCAAAGTTTAATTTGATATGAAATCTATTAATTAATTGAATTAACCAAAATATATAATAATATATATATATGTTTTAAGTTCAGACTCATTCAAAATCAAGTCTTAACTAATTTTTAATCACCCCGTAAGCTTTCAAGTCCCAATCAAATTTTAACTCAAATGAGAAAAAATATCTTCATTAAACCTAAATTAATATAAATAAAAAATACAATAAAATTTTCTTAATTCAAAAATCTATTGAATTAGTAAAACTTTATTCAATACAGTCCACAATTTTAAAAAAATAATTCGATTAATGTGGACTTAATTAGTTGTTTAAAAACCTCTACAGTTAATTATGAATATTTTTGTCCAAAAGGTGAGGCTATCGTTTTGTCCAAAAAATCTTATTACCTCTGTTAAAAATTGCATTATGTTTAGCCTACACTTAAGGAAAGTTTTTTTTTTTAAGGAAAGTTTCATTATGTTTTACTAAATTTGGATCCCTTTATGTATGACATGTATAAAAATATATTAAAAAATTGTACAAAATATTTAATATAGTCTATGGTAATTAAAATAATGTTTATGACAATTAATTATTTTGTAAATGCTATTATATTTTTACCATCTTACCCCTATGTTAAGCCTACAAAATGGATGTTTATTTTTCCATTTCACATAATACTACAAGAGAAATTTCTCTAATATCATAAGCAAATGACATTTTCTTTGAAAACACTCTTCGATTTTCATAAACTTTTCTTTAAGTGTTAATTTGAGTTGAGAGAAGAACAGTACCATCACTAGACTATTCCATTTTTCGCGTGTATAAAATTTGGAGAGTCGTGTTAATATCAAGGGACTATTCATCCATTGTAACGATTGTACACATCATGACAAATTAATTTCTAAGATAATGATTAATACCAAATACAATTATCGTTCTGATTGATTATTTATTTAATATTTTTCAATAAGTATTAATACTTCATTTTGCACCAGTTTATTTCTCAACAAATGACAATGATGACAATGTCGACGACGGTACTGTTATTGGCATTTACTACTGAATATACAACGATCTACGATGATCCAAGGGTTGATTTTGATGGAAACGAATGGTGGGACCCTGAGAACCAACAAGAGAATTCCAATATAACTATCTATTTATTTCCAATTGAGACTCTTAAAAATTGTCTGAGATTATATTTAAACATTTTTTTTCGACGTGCAACTATCTCTTCATATTTTTAGGAAGTAAATATAATATTTAACACTGATTTTTATTAATCCAATAATTGTAAATTAATATAAAACTCATTAATTTTATATATGCTGTATATTTGGATCTTTAACTTCAAATATATGTATATTTTGGTGATTTTGTTATTTTTATCTCCCTAAAAAAGAATTTCTTTTAATATGCTTTTGCAATTTATGGGTTAGAATATTTTATTGGTTAAATTGTGGTTTTGATCTTTCTACTATACTCAAATTTGTAATATTGTCCCTATAATTGACATAATTTGATACTTGTAATTTTATTATTTCATTTTTAGTCTAAATAATTACATTGTTAACCATTTGGGTTAAAAATCTTACATGATTTCCCCCCTTAAAATACATCTTTCAACTCAGAAGATGTGCTTTTAAGAGAAATCTACACCATCATTTTAATGGAAATTGTTAAATTATTAACTATTGGACTAAACAATGATATTATAGAAGTGCAGAGATCAAGTTATACTAAATTAAAGTACAAAGTATAAATCCAAGAATTGAACATAATAAAAGAACTAAAATCATAATTCAACCCTATATTTTCATTTAGGTGGTCTTTGATTGCTGGAAGACTACCAGGCCGAACTAATAACCAAATCAAGAACTATTGGAATTCTCATTTGAGCAAGAAAATAAGGCGAAACGATAACCAAAACAAAGGCTCCAAAGTACAAAAACTGGTGCTCGAGAATTCAAAAGAAACCAAGATGATCTTCGTCTCGACTGGAAGCGGGGAAGGTACATCAAAGAGAGATGATACGTTACTGGAGTTTTGCAGTGAGGAGCCTCTTGATTGGGAGTGGATGAGTGAGTTCTTTGAAATGAATGAGAGCTGCTTCAACTTTGCATGATATTTGACCTTCGTTTACGTCCATTTCAAGTTGTTGTAAAAAGAGAGCCTTTGGTAATCCAAGCAAAATCCTCTGGTTTCAGTTCTATGTTCTACCGTTGATTGAATTTCTCCGATGCCGGGGCAGATGTTGGTGCTTGGCCTCCTGTGTTCAATGATCCGATTGGTGTCGGCGATGGATTCTCGGGTGATTTCAGTCCTGGTGCGAATAATTTGCTAGACTCCTGAGATGGTTTGATGCTCTTCCGAAATGCATCAGAGAATCACTATGTTTTGTGGAATCCC